GACTGAATGTTTTACTAACTGCCTTGACTGACATCGTCAATTGCAGTTATAACAGAAGTTGGTTTTATCACAAAGAACACCGCTTGTGGTTTATTAGGGTCCCCAACATGGAGCCACTAGTCAAAACAAACACCTATGAGAGAGGATCCTATCACTGTTTTGATCCAAACACATTTGAAACAATCCGCAAGGTTAGGAATACAAATCTTATTCTGTCCATTACTATTTATTTGTCTCCATTTTATTTTAGCAATTATCGTTTCTTTTTTTTTTTTTTTGTGGGGGGGGGAAAAAATTATCATTCTATTTTTATTTTGGCAATGAGTTTTCTTTCTTTGGGTAGTCGGCTGAAGTAAACTTCGATCGCAGGATAATTTTGTGCTTCATTATGAGATGTTGGAAAAGAAACCGGCTCTACCTCAACATTAACATGTGTCTTTTTTTTCCTTATTTTTTCTTTTTTCTTTAATTTTTTTCTCCGTCCTCGATAAGTAATGTTGACAAGTCCTCTTGTAAAGGTTTTGTAATCTTGTACTGTTCATTAGTATCTCAGTTTCCAGCTTTGATTTTCCTTCATTCTAGCAACTGTAACAACCGCACTTACCAATCTTTTTGCAATTACAGCGGTTTAGTCTCATTTATCTGGTCTTTGTTACATACACACACCACACCAACACGCATGGATACTAGAATACGCACACATGACACTTTTAGCCGCGTTTGGTAGGCGGGAAAGAAAAAGAAAATAAGAGGAAAGGATCAAATCCCTCCAATTCGGAGGGGATTAGAATTATGGTTTGAAGGATTTAGGTCTCGTTCATTTCACTAATTCGAGTTTTGTTACAGTTTAAAACTTTTAGAAACAGTCACGTTTAATATTTGCTACAGTAAAAAGTTCACATAAAGTCGCATCTCAACTCGAATTAAAATTTTAAATCAGCGAATTAAATGGGTCCATATAATCTCATTCAATCCATTAACTCGCACAAAATATGCATTGGTTCACCAAGTAGGCAAATTGGTTGATCTATCAAATTGTTTTCTTTCGATTCGGTTGGCCATCTACTATTGGTTCTCCGTGGATGCCAATGATGGAGGTGAAATGTAAACATCACTTTTTCTTGTCACTCGTTGCAATCACTATTTGACATGTGAATTTTATTAGATAGTAGAGTTTACGTGTCAAAAAGTAAATGTAAAGAGATAAAAATAGTGACAGAAAGAGTGATGTTAGCGCTTCTCTGGATAGAAATAATGAGGGACAATGTTATGAGACGTTCGAATGTCAAAGAAGAGAGGGAAATGTTGGGCTTCTTCAATTCTTCTTTTCTCTTTGCTTTTAAATTCTTTCGATGCATATAAAATAAAAAATAAGGCAGTGCAATGGTTTCTCTGTTGAGTTATTGTATATTTAACATACAATAAAATGAAGGATTATTATCACCTATGTCTCTTGAACTTTAGAGTTACTTTTACTTTGCCCCTTGAACTTTAAAAATCCACTTTACTATCTTAAATTTTTATGAACTTCCACTTTACCTATTCCGTCTCAATTTCCATTCAAAAGAAACGGAAAACATCTCACGTGCATTCACGTGTATGGTGCTTGAGGGTAAAATCGTTATTGAATTTTTAGTGTTTTACACATATGCCTCGTGAATTTTGGAGTCGCTCTTAAAGTTCAGGGGGCAAAGTAAAGGCGACCTCAAAGTTCAGTGGGAAAAATGGGGCAACTTTAAAGTTTAGAGGGTAAAGTGGGGGTGGCTCCAAAGTTCAGGGGGCATTGGTGTAAATCACTAAAAATTTAATCGCGATTTTACTCTCAAACACCATGCACGTGATACGTTTTTTGTCTCTTTTAAACATAAATTGGTATGGACGGGATAAAGTGAAAGTTCATCAAAGCTTATGGTAGTATAGTAAGGATTTTTTAAAGTTGAGTGGGTAATGTGGGGGGTGACTCTAAAGTTCAGAAATATAAGTAATAATAATCCTAAAATAAAAGAGTTAAGAGATTTTTTCCCTCCCTTTGACATGTGGCGTTATAAAGTAGGCTCATTAAGAAATGGTGCTTGCTTTCTAGGGCTTAATTTCCAATGCATACAAGAGAGGAAAGGAGAGGGTGGGGTTGACGCTGGTGGCTAGGAAAAGGAAGGAAAGGGGGCGGGGAGGAGGAATGGTCGCTTAGTTAAGTCGAGCGATGGCGTCGCCTCCAGCCCTTCCTGGTTTTGTTAGTTGGTTTCAGTGGTGCCACTCCGTTGTTGTTTTGTTTCAGTTATTATGAACAACCCTCTTAGGTTTATATGTGATAATCTAATATATTTGACTTGTGTATATATAGGGAATTAGCACTCAGATGTCCGTGGAATACGAAAAGGTTTCTAGTGCAACATCTCTAATGAAATGTTAAATTTTTTATCTTTAAAATTTTTCAATTTACGTAAATATATATTTATATTTTCCATTACAATGTTGTATTTAATGTCGATTTGATATATGCTATGCATAGTTGTTAAATTTAGCACTAAGTATGACATGTGTCAAACTTTGACATCAAACTTTGGCATTTAGTTGCTATTGATTGATGCATTGAATTCTTCACTTAATAATTACAATATTATCATTTTTAAATTGTTTCAAAATTAAAAAATGTAATTCTATAAATTTCAAGCTTAAAAATGATGACAAAAAGTAAATATAAAATTTAGTTTTTTTGTTAGGGAGAATGTACATAACATATTTATGAAAGTAAATTAAGTAAGAATTTTAAAACTATTTGAAATAAATAACAGTTTAACATGTAAATGTTTTATTTATGACTAATAAAAAGATTTTCTTCACGTAATTTTTTTTTCATAACTAGTAAAAAGATTTTTTTCGCGTAAATAAAATTTTTTTACCACAAATTATTTTTATAAGTCATAAATGAAATATTTATACGATAAATTGCTATTTACTTTAAATAAATCTACTTTTTACTAAATTTTTATTTTTAGTCATGTATCAACTTAAGAAGGAAAGATAGGATTTTAAAAGAATGATATTAAAATGAGAAAATCTCTCTTCCGTTTGGTTTATGGATTATAATTATTTTTTATTTACGTGTGTTTTTTGTGAGAGAAAATACTGTAGCGAACCATGAACCATGATTCGAATCAGAGAACGAATCCTCTAACCAAACGGGTTTAATTTTGTGTATTCTTTTAATATATATATGAACCTCTTATAATATTTATTATTATTATTATTATTGGACAAATGACGTGCAAACACCTTCTTTTAGTCTCTACCATCGTTAGTGCTACTTAGTGGCTTTTAGTGGTGGCCGGCTGGCCGCTGAAAACGCAAGCATCTTCAAAGAGACACGTGTAGCATCATATATTTATACACAACGAGCACCCGATATTATACATAATTCTATCATACAGAACTCCTGCTTTCGATATTATGCATAAAAAGATGGTATTCTATCTCTATGCAGATAAATTTCCTCACTCATAAAATGATGAGTCTTATTTATTCATTTAATAAGATCCATCTTTTTCTGTAAGTAGCACAATTTTAACTCATAAAGATGAATAGTAATGCTCAATACATAATTAATAATACTACCATATAGAACTCCTATTTTTACAGCGAGAAAATGCAAATAGTCATCAACAATACTGTAAAATATTCATAAAAATAACTGTAAAATTGATCGATGACTTCTAATAATATTAGACTTTCTCTAGTACGGCCTCCCTACTTGTAAAATCCGTTTCTAATCATTAAATATAATCAAAGTCATATTAAATCAAAAAAAATATGTAGAATAAACACTTTATAATTTAGACTTGACAACTAGAAAAAATAGCATTTTCAGTAGTTATTTTTTTAGTGTCTACAGGAGAAATCTCCCTATGCTTATATACTATTATCACTTATAATCGCTTGTCTAAGATACCTGCAAATGAAAATGGCAATGTCAAATTATATTTTGCACTAAAAAATGTAAAATAATTTATTTAGTATGCTATTTATTTTTATTATTATTATTATTATTATTATTATTATTTTGCTGATGTAGTATGCTATTTATTTTTGAAAGGGATTAGATAAATCATTGACTTATTCGACCATATACTATAGAAAAATTTTGATCCCGATAAATAATAGTTCTACTAATAAAATCGAATAAAACGCTCAAAGTGAATAAGCGTCTACCGATCTTCGAAACTAGACACCCAACAAGGTCACTAATATCGAGGATGCATATGGCTCTTTAATACTTCCTTTACAATTAATGGAAATATTTCGGTAGAAGTCCTTGTAGCACAATACTATTATATTTTTTGTGTTCTAATGCATAATAATATTTCAGATGCTATATCTTTGTTTAGTTATAATTATTTTAAAATTTTGTAAAAATAAACTTTTAATTTGACATAATTTTAAAATGACAATATTGTAATGATTAGGTAAAAATAATAATACATCAACCTAACACAATGACATATAAAAATTTAGTTTGGTATATGCTATTTTATAATGCTGTCATATCTAATTCTGATTTTTATACTGACATGTATAGAACAGTTATATTAACATACTGCAAAATTATCTCAAAAGCACCTATATCATATGAAAAGTGTTCAGATGCACCATCATTATTAAACACCATCAGTAATAAAAGATAAGTTTCACTTATGAGTCTCATACTACGAAATCCACTTTTATTAAAGGGTGGTGCTCAATATCACCAATATCCTATAACATCATTTTTCATATCTAACTATAGGAATATTTTTTTTAAAAAAATTATTTCCTATGTTGTCACACCATAGATGTTCTCCTTACTATGAACGTGGACATCTCCCCAACTAATGCAAATAATGAATGCCACGCACAGACAAAAATTCCACTTACAAAAATGCACTGTGCGCTAATTGGCATCATTTTCCATTTTTTCTTGGTCTAACTCCACGATTCCCTCTTGTCCGGATTTCGCGTTTTCATTCCTCAATTTTTCCATTCTCTCTCAACCTTCTCTCTTCTCAAAATCTTCCTCTTTCTTTCTCTCTCCCAAATGGGTACTCTTCCAAAGCTCTTTTCACCGTTTCTCACAACCAAAACTCACCAAAGCTTCCTCTCCCCAACTCCTCAATTCCCTTTCCCAAAACCCCATCACACATCTTCACCAACAAAGCACCACAAACTCAAAACCAGCAAGTTTGGAAACTTCCTCAGCTTACAACCAGAAACAAAGCCTGAATCCTTGGACGTGGATCTCCCCATGTGGGGCCCATCTGACCGGTCCCCGTTGGACGTGATCATCATCGGTGCGGGCCCCGCCGGCCTCCGTCTCGCCGAGCAAGTTTCCCGCTACGGAATTCAGGTGTGTTGTGTTGATCCTTGTCCTCTCTCTTCTTGGCCTAATAACTATGGCGTTTGGGTTGACGAGTTTGAAAGCTTAGACCTTGGTAGTTGCTTGGACAAAACATGGCCAATGACTAGTGTTCACATAAACGACAACAAAACCAAGTATTTGGACCGCCCTTATGGACGTGTCAACAGGAAGAGATTGAAAAAAGAGTTGATCAATAGATGTTTGTTAAATGGAGTGAAGTTTCACAAAGCCAAAGTATGGGAAATTGAGCACCAAGAGTTCGAGTCTTTTGTTGTTTGTGATGATGGAAATCGGATCAAGGGAAGTTTGGTTGTGGACGCAAGTGGATTTGGAAGCAAATTCATAGAATATGACAAGCCAAGAAACCATGGATATCAGATTGCTCATGGGATTTTGGCTGAAGTGGATTTTCACCCTTTTGACTTGGACAAGATGGTTCTCATGGATTGGAGAGATTCCCACTTGGGAAATGAGCCTTCCTTGAGAAATGCCAATTCAAAGCTCCCAACTTTTCTATACGCAATGCCATTTGATTCAAACTTGGTTTTTCTTGAAGAGACTTCTCTTGTTAGTAGGCCAGTGTTGTCTTATGTAGAGGTTAAGAAAAGAATGGCTGCTAGACTAAGGCATTTGGGGATTAGAGTCAAAAGGGTGTTGGAGGATGAGAAGTGTTTGATCCCAATGGGTGGCCCACTTCCCAAAATCCCTCAAAATGTGATGGCAATTGGAGGAAATTCAGGAATTGTTCACCCCTCAACTGGGTACATGTTGGCTAGGACAATGGGGATGGCCGCGGTGTTGGCCGAGGCTATAGTTGAAGGCCTTGGCTCAACTAGGATGATTAGAGGAAAGCCACTTTACCATAGAGTGTGGAATGGATTGTGGCCAATTGAGAGCAGGTGTGTTAGGGAGTTTTACTCTTTTGGGATGGAGACTCTTTTGAGGCTTGATTTGAATGGCACTAGGAGGTTCTTTGATGCTTTCTTTGATTTGAAGCCTCACTATTGGCATGGTTTTCTCTCTTCAAGGCTAACACTTGGAGAGCTTCTTTTGTTGAGTTTGTCTCTGTTTGGAAATGCCTCAGCTCCATCCAAGGTTGATATTGTTACAAAGTGTCCTGTTCCCTTGCTTAGGATGATGAGCAATTTAGCACTTGAAACCATTTGATTTGGTTAGGAAGTTGTGTGTATTGTGGATTCTATTACCTATTTAAGAAATACAGAATTTTCAGTGTTATTTCATCCAGTATTTATAGAAAAAGGGTACATTCTTATTATCAGTTTTTATTATATCAATTTGCAAACATATAACTATCATACTTCGAGGAAAAAAAAAAAACCCACCAAAATCAATATAAACCTGTAACGAAATCATCTTTCATTAAAACTTTGGAATCAGATGGGGATGGAGTATTGGAAAACCAATAGGAGAAAAGGAGGTGGGTTTGATCCCATAAAGGGGGAAGACCTGCAAAGGAAGGAGATTGATCAATAAATTGAATAAAATAACTAGAAAGTCTGTGAAAACATGAATATATAAATATGCTGAACCTACTTGAATTCCATTATATTCTTTTTTTTTTTTTTTTGGTATGTGCAACCTTCTCGAGCATTTTTTTAGTATATATCATTTATTTTGTTAAAAAAAATCTCATTCTTGAAAAAAATAATGTAAATCAACGATGGATTTGTTCGTAAACCACTAATCGACTTAGTAGTAAATCATTGATTGATTTTAGGTTAATCACCGATTTACTATATTAATCAATGATCAACCCAAAATCAATGTGATTTACTTCCAATATTATTAAATTTTTTTCTTCCTCCCTTCTCTTATCTCCCCATCATCGTCCCTACTATCGTCACCCACCGTTGTTGTTGTGTCTCCCTCGTAGCACAGCAGTCGCTAGAGACCCCACACTAGAGATCTTCTCCACACCGGGGAGGTCGAGACCTTCCCTGTGTGGAGGAGAAAAAGATGATCCATGAATCAAGATCCTAATGCATATAGATACATATGGTCCAATGAGAGTAATAATTCATAGGAACATTTGGAACATTTCATTTCTGAGCAGAAAAGGGTATCCAATAGAAACGGACTGAAGAGTCAAACAAGACCATCACTCACAAAAACCTCTTTCTCCATCAGATTTGGCCCGTTAAAAGGAAACATGGCTTTATAATCTCTTTATATTATCTTTTTTTTTTCCTGTCATTTTTTTCCTTTGATTTTTTTTTTTTTTTTTCCTGTCATTTTTTTCCTTTGATTTTTTTTTTTTTATTTCCTCTAACAAAATACATAAAAGCAACATTGCTTTTAAAGCCCTCTCTTGTGTCTTATCCTTTTCAACATTAAAAATGTTGTTCTCTCTGCTGGTTTGGATTCCTTAAAAAACTGTCCTAAATTTGGATCCCCTAATAATATGGATAGGCGATCCAAGTTGCTCATTAGGTTAATTCAAAAGATATTATAAACAGCGGTGAAACCAGAAAATATTTTAAGTTGGGGTATTATATAAATGCTAGAGATAATTCTTTATTAAATAGAGACGTAATTATATATTTCAACTATTAAGTAGTGGCACAATTATAATTTTTTTTAAAACTGGGCACAACTAAAATCTTACACAAAACTGGGGATAAAACTCAAAATTCTAAAATGGTAGTTTGTGCACATGCCCTGATCATATGAATGTCCCTCTGCCAAAATTATAAAGAAAGAGCAATACGCCAATACCAATTAATGATATAATATCTTGAAATAGTCACAAATACTATTTAGGTAGTTTTTTATTTTTTAGCTGTATGTTTTGCATACTCTTTAATTTAATATGATTTTAATCAGATTTATTAGTCAGAAACTGATCCTACTGATAGGCCAGCCTACGGAGAGAATCCCTTATTACTAGATTGGAGTGGTGAGCTATGTTGTTGCTTGTCTATTTCTTTCTTTTTTCTTTTTTCTTTTTTTTTAATAAACCAAACCGGACCACAAACCATTAGTCAACTTGACTGGATTTAAAAGCAGTTTAAGAGTGTGCTTAGTTGGAGTGAGAGATAGAGAGGCCGAGGGAGAGAGCTAATCACTTGTTTAGTTGCAGGGAGATGGGGAGGGAGAGGAGAGGTATAGGGATGTGCTTTCCTTTATGGCCCACCAAATTGGATCCTTCCATCAATAAAAGGATTCAAGTAATCCATCAAGTTTAATATTAAAAATACTGTTTTACCCTCTAAACAAATCATTACAAATAGTTTAACAGACAATATAGTAATTTAACAAATAACTATCATCATCATTTCAACTCTTTCTTTATCTTACCAAACAATATAAAAAATTACTATAATCATCTCCATCTTTCCTACTCTTCATTCCTCTAACTCTTTTCATACTTTCTACTCTCCACCCCGATAACCAAACGGACTTTAAGGCTCCAAGAAGCATAATTTCTTTACTGTCTGGTCATACTTCAGAAAATGGTCTCAATGAGCCTAAACTGCTAGTAGGTATTGGAGAAATTGGATGTAAAAAGTATCACTTCCAGTAGAAGATAAAGTTGAGGTCAACATCTGTATAAAGTAATGAGAAAGTGAGTTTGACACATCAGCACACATACCTGTGAGCACCACAATCACAAAAAGCAAGGGAGGAGGAAGATGGAATGGACCTAGTGCCATTTGAGTAGGATTAAATTGAACAACTATTTACCACCGAAAGTCATCGTGGTGTAGTAAGGATGCTTTTGTAAAGTCTCCTCTACCTATCCATCTATGTTCAAGTCTTCATTCCCGCATAAGGTTGCCCAGCCTCTTTGAAGGAATTAAGTGGGTCTTTGTGGGCCACACTATAGGTGAAGGGAGTGAAAACTAGGTGGATGGTCAATGAGAGACTAATTCAGACACTTTTCACATAATCGGTAGTACCTGACATTACTGCTATAACTGAAGAGGTTAGGGGATATGAAATGCACCACCAGATTTTTCTTTTTATCCCTCTTCTTTTACGTTCCGGTGTAACCTCATGAGGAGCAATCGCAAATGATATCACTAACACCACAACATAGCCCACCACTTAATGGCTTGTGCACCTTGCATTTTAAATTTTATTAGAAGCTCTCACTGCTTTCTACAAAGTGATGTTTTTTGGGACTTTCTCTGGTTTGTCAATATACTGATAGGTCATGTTTTTTTGTTCCTTAAATCTGTATAAAATTGTGTAAAAATTAAAAAAATACGCGAAATTAACAGTTAGAAAAACCCGATCTATCGATACACTAAGCATACCAAAGAATCTCTTTTTTTTTTTTCTTTTTCTTCTTCTACGTAGTATGTATTTAACATGGTATATATAAGATCACGAACAAATGGTTTAGATCATGAGAAAATAAATCTTAAAATATTGTGGGGGAGAAAAAGACAAGATGAGAATCTAAAGAATAATTAAGCTCATAATTCCTTGTGGCTCAAATTTGTTTGAATGGCAAATTCCTCTTAATGAGTTAGTACCCTTGGATCAAAACCACTATAAGAAGATGAAAATTTTCTTGAAAGGGGATAAAAAGAAAAATCTAAACCAATAAAGCTTGCCTTTATGTCAAAAATGAGAAGGCATTAAGAAAATATTCTTAAAAAGCCAGAGAGAATCTTAAAAAAAATAAAAAAAATAAAAAAATAAAAACTAATACCTGCTAAGTGCACCTCATTCATTTGAAAAGTTTGAAAGCAGGCATAACAAAGTTTTCAAATTCAATATGGGTAGGTAAGCAAGATGTAGGATGCTTCATGCTTAAAATAAAGGAATAAATTTATGAAATACATAATTTTCAGTCTTGTTTCGTCTAGCATTTATAAAAAGGGTACATTCTTATTATTAGCTTTTCATTATCAATTTGTAAGCGTATTGTTGAGTTGTGGAGCATTATTAATTAAGAAGAGAAAATAAAAGATCACAATTCTTTATTTAGAATGACATAAATAATAATTTAATGCCTAATTTGAAAAGAATAGAAAAATAAATAATAACTTGATGCCTGATTTAAAAATAATACATAAATAAAAATAGAAAATTTAGAAACATAATAATTCTCATTATCTATAATGTACTTTCAAATTATATCTAGGAAGAGATAATCGTCACTACTTTTTAGCCGTGTTTAGAATTGATCCTTTTTTAATTTTTACGTTTTTCGATAAAGAAAAAATGAAAACATTTTCAAAACGGCGTTTGGCGCAATAAAGGTAAAAAACAGAAATGAAAACAATTTTTTGGTTTAGTGTAAAATGAGAGAGAAATGAAAAATGACTTTTAGTCATTTTTTATTTTTTATTTTCGTTTTCTCCTCTCTGAGCAGAGAGAGAAAGAGAGACATTAATGAATTTTTTTACACTGAAAATAATTTCTTGATAAAACTACCAAACGCATTTTTAAAAATAATTTCTGTCTGAGATTGAAAACGTTTTCATTTTCATACAAAAAATAAAATCATTTTGGAACGAGTTCCAAATGTGCTTTTTTTTTTTTTTTGGAGAATTGTTACTTTCTTTTCAACACTAACTAAAGTAGTGGTAATCATATTCTCATTTTTTCTTTATTTGGGGATTAAGGTTTATGTGATATGAGTATTTAGATACTAAAATTATGTTAAATTGGGTGACATTTTGTTGTGAATTTGTGAGAAATTAAAAATATAAATTTTGAAATTATTTTTAAAAAATGTAAATGTTTTGAAATTAGGGATATTTTACTAATTTTTTAAGAAAAAACCTCAGTGTTTATTTTTATTTTTATTTTTATTTTACGGTTACCCTTAACTTTAGATGGGGAGTTTAGTGTGAAACTTTTCAAGTGAAGGGGTGTCACTTTCATTAAAGCCGTGTTAAAGAGGCGCGACTGTAATATTTACATAAATTAGGTGGTTTCTGTAATTTTCCCATTGAGAAACAAACGAAAGAAAAAGGTTTTCCCGGAATAATTTTTCGCTGCGCGACTTTCTTGACAGCCAAACAGGAAGGTAGGCCATTCGAATCGAAGGAAATTTACATGCCTTGTCCGTCTTCTCTAATCAATCTTCTCCAAACTCGCAACAACAAAAATCCAATCAGTTTCTTTCCCTCTACCAAAAACTTTACTCTCCTTTTCTCTGATGCGATTCCTTTGTTCTCAGGCTTTGAATTCAGAAGAGTCTCGAAGAAGAATCGATGAAGCCGATTCGGCTTCCTGAGCCGCCCAGTCCCAAAGTCGGCGCCGGCGTCGCGGACATCTTCGAAGGTGGCGTCTATGGCGTCGTTAGGCGCGCCGTCGTGATCGGAAATGGATTTGCTGGCTCCGAGAATCAGAGCATCGGTTTGGTTCGCGCTTTAGGTCTCGCCGATAAACATGTCTTATATGTAAGTTCGCGGGAACCAAAACCTAATTTAGTATTATTCGTTGGTTTTCATATGCCAAAAATTTGCCTGAACAGACAAATTGATTGTGATTAGTTAATATGAAAACTTACTTAATGATTCTAAAGGAATAATTTTTTTAATATGATTTCTCACTCTCTTTCTTTTTGGTAAATTTGATGCTTTGGTGTATTTTACTTGCGATTCTTTTCAGTTCCAGTTTAGAATCGTCAATCATGATTCACGTATAACAATTTCTTGTCGAAGTTCCTTTTTCTTTTTAGTAAATTTGATTAGTTAGAGTAGGTTTTTTGAGGAAGTGTTGGTAAAGTTGGAGTTCATTGGACTATGGATATTTCGAATGAAGTGCTTGAATGACTTGTTCTGTATTCTGAATAGGCATGATTCGAGTTAACTAGATCTCTTATCATATTTGTCTGTTTATTAAAAACTGGTGGGAATTTCATTTGTGACTAAGACAATGCTTCTAATCTTGCTTTGTTTTTCATGAACTCGCTTTGGAAGTCCTTTTTTTTACAGAACTTTTGTTTTTCAAACATGGCGTGCCGACACGAGTATAACGACCTAATTCTGTTAGATTTCTGGGATTCCACCTAATGAACTAACGATAGCGAATCAATTATAATGACTTTATGATAGATTGCGTCAGTATGTTAATAATATTTTCCGGAAAAAAGAAAAATTGATTCGGTGTACGTCCTTTAGGATACAACAGGCATTATTAAGTTCGGCCTGCTGTCTATTTTTATTTTCTCTTGGAGATTTCTTCCCTAGACTAGATTAAAATACTGCTTTATGTTTTTGCTAGTTTTCTAGAATGCAAGAATGCAAATCTATGGTTATTATCTTTCGGTATTCTTCTTTTGGCTTGTGGCAGCTTCAGATTAATCGCTTATGTGCCATTATGTGTGTTTTGGTGTATCAATTTGTTAATGTTTTTTTGGTTCACTTCACATGCAGCGGGTAACAAGACCAAAAGGAGGAATAAATGAGTGGCTCCACTGGCTTCCGGTTTCCTTTCATAAAAAGTTGGATTACATTATAAGGCAGATATGTGGTTCCTCAAGACTTCTGTTAAAATCTAGAGGGCGTAGAGTTATGTCTCTACCTTCAGAAAATGGTGGCACTGGAGGGTTATCATCTGTTTTAGAAGCTGATTTGAAGCAAATTGTAAACATGGCTCGTGAGACTTCGGAAAAGTAAGTTATTTGTCTGCAATTTTTTATAAGAATTGTTCTATTTGCTTTGCTGATATAGTAGTTTCAGGCAACAGTGCCTACTATCTAATATTACTGCTTCTATAGATCAAATCTTTCTTCTTGATAGAAACAATCAAAATATAACTATCTCTCTGAGAAGATATAGGCTGTTTTGCTGTAAGATCTTGAAACATATAAGTTTTAAATGTAAGGGAAAATATTATGTACTTTTTATGCTCTGAAATTATTTTCCCTATCTTTGATTGCGCTTAAATATGTTGCTAATTGGTTTTGTTTTCTTTTTACAGGGATGGGCCACTATTGGTGGTTGCTTCTGGCAGAGATACCATTTCTATTGCAAGTTCCATAAAACGCTTAGCATCTGAAAACGTTTTTGTTATCCAGGTTTGTCGCTGAAGCAATATTTTTAATTCTTGTTAGCACTTGACTAAATGTTTCAGGCTTTGGTGCATGATTTATGAAATATCTTCTGATAAGTAATTTGGGTTTTTGCAACAAACTTTCCATGGTACATAAAAGATGTTTTTTATCATGCAGCAGTATTTTATCGCTGTACATAATAGATGGGTAGTAATTAGTACTTTAATTGCTTTTCCAATGTGTGCATAAATGCAAATTGTAGAATTTCTATATTGCTTTCAATATTTGCATTTCTGTGGGCGCATTTATCAGGTCTTCATTGCAATTTGTAAGACATGTTTGGTAGTGATCTCATGAGCATGTCCTTTTTTCTAAAAAACTTTCAGCTTCTTCCAAAGCGTTTCTTTTTCTATTCTCAAAACAAATACACCAGTTACGATGTGGGCGTTCTTTCCATCATCTCGTTTATGCTTCTTACAAATTACAATGCTGACCTGATAAAGGTTGCTCTTGAGTCTGTGACCCCTACATGACCTAACTCCTGATTGTCCAAACACAACTTCGTAAATTCAAGCCACTAGAAAATGAGGAAGTAAATGTCCATGCTTTCTCACCGTTCTTTATAGGTGTACGAGTAACACCCTACACCTTTTCCTTTTAATTTGATATTTTTTGTCCAGCTTTCTTATAGGTTGGAGGTATACAACTGCTCTCATTTCAAACCACAACCCCACCCCACCCACTCCCTCAAAAAAAACTGCTCTCATTGTTACTCTATGCAAAAACTTTTTGGTTGGTTACTGATGATACAATGACTTTACCCGAGTTACATAAACTCTAGCGAACATAATCCCCACTCCAAAAATGTTCAGCTCGGATAAGGCTCTCAAGATATTCTCTACAATTATAACTTGACAATCATACAAGTTCCAACTCGTGAAGACATAGACGTGAGACACTTCTTTTGTCATTGTGTACTTTTTGTCGTTGACGTCATCTGTAACTTGTTAATTTGATTTTAGTCAATTTGAACCATATCTATAAATTTAGTTGCACGAAATGAATATATATACCTGTAGGTTTAGTCTGGCTGTCAAGATTGGAAATTCTTTTGGCTTGCCAGCATCTGCCCAAACGTCCAATACACTAAGACCTATTAATCAGGACAGAGTATGAAACACATTTAAATTTGAAACATAAGAAAATGAAATCCTTTTTTTTTATGTTAGAATAGCAGGATCATCACTTCTGATGGAAGAACAAAGTTTTTGATTGTGACATCTTTGCATTATTTTGCAGATACAACATCCAAGGACACAATTGAATCGCTTTGACTTGGTCATCACTCCTCATCATGATTATTATCCGTTGACCCCTCAAGGACAGGAGCAGATTCCTCGGTTTCTTCGGAAGTGGATAACCCCGCATGAACCTCCTGACAAGCATGTGGTATGAGGAGTTGGCACTATCCGTTAGAAATTGACTTCTATTTACTATTGCACTATCTGTTATTAAGGAACTTTTTTTTATCAGATAGTTGATGAGGATAGTTTTTAAATTCAGGTCCTCACCATAGGAGCTTTGCATCAAATTGATTCTGCTGCTCTTCGCAGTGCAGCTAGGGTGTGGCATGAGGAGTTTGCACCTTTGCCAAAGCCGTTACTGGTGGTCAACATTGGTAGCCCTACAGGTAATCCTCATTTTATCCTATATCCGTAAGTGTTTGATGTATTACGAAATATCAGAGTAGAGGTAGCAGTTTAATCTTTTGTTTCTTCAATTATTGTCTTTAGGAGCCAAAATTCCTGCTTCAGTGTGTTATACAAACTCTTTTTTAAAGTTCTTTTTTTTTTTTTTTTTTTTTTTTTTTTTTTTTTTTTTTTTGGGAATCTTTTTTTTTTTTTTCCCCCATTTCAGTGTGTTATACAAACTCTTTTTTAAAGTTCTTTTTTTTTTTTTTTTTTTTTTTTTTTTTTTTTTTTTTTTTTTTTTTTTAAGCAGGGAATCATGCTTTGTTGTGTCCACAATTTCTTTGCTTCATGTATTACTCAGATTGACTGATTGCCATATCCTAATGTTTTACTGTTAGCCTTATGGTTTTCCAGTGTCTTTTACAAAACTTGTTCTTTGACGTGGTTGCAGTTTAAAAGTTAACAAAACGAGTTTTTGCTTCTTTTCATAGCAATAAAATATAGCATTGGCCATCTTATATTGACATTTGTGGGACTGCATCCTTTCTGACTTTTGGTTTTCAACGTCTTTAGTGAACATTGAAGTGGCATTGTGGTGAACCAATCTACTTTAGCCATATCAGGATATTAGGAGGCCATCAAATAATTGCTTCTCTCATGTGGTTTTATGTTCAACTAATTAGCCTACAAACATCTTTGGGCTTTAGGTGTTTTCCTGTTCTTGGTCTGAATTTTGAAGAGCTTGGAGAAGTCTGGCATTATAACAGTCTAGCATGATACAAAATTCTTTTGCGGCAAATCCAGTAAAAATGGTTTAATCTTATGTCAATGTTTGCAAAGTAGTTTCTTAGACTATGCATGACTAAGGTGCTAGAAAGTAGGTTATTGTTGCACACGTCACAGAAATGACATTACACGTATCAGTCAAAAATGACATTGTGAGGACAGCAATCAATTGTAGTAGATCTGCATTATTACGTATCTACGATGCATTAGCGGGATTTACTTATGCAGAAGTTATTTAGCTCCTGGCCATATAAATAAAATGCATTTGTTAACTTTTGTTCCCAAATATTTGCTATTAATTTACATTGAAAATCATCACCCCGGAAAGATATCATAGGTTTCTCTTTTTCTGGATGGTGACTAAATCTCAAGTGAAAGTAACTAAAGTCCTGGTGAAATGCATATTGGAAAAATCAAAATATTCTGACTGCAAATATTTGAGAGTCAAAATACATCTGAATTGTCCGAATGTATATGGTTTCTGAAAATATTTGGTGCAAATTTCTTTTTTCCTGGTATTATTTGTTTTCACCGTTGGTTATCCAATTAGAGTGTTTATATGATGTTAATACAAACTTTTTTTTTCTTTCTTTTCAATAGGCTGCTGCCGTTATGGTGCCGACCTTGCAAAGAATTTGACATCCAGTTTGCTTAGCGTTCTTGTTAGCTGCGGCAGCATCAGAATATGTTTTTCTGATAGGACTCCTGAAAAGGTTTGCCGTGCACATGTTTTTGTACAAATTATTCTTTCGAAGTTTATTACTACGCCGGATCTAATATGGTGGCTGGTGATTTCATCAACAGGTCTCAAATATTATTGTGAAAGAGCTTGGAGATAATTCTAAGGTTTACATTTGGCGTGGTGAAGGTTGTAATTATTGTTTATATACACAACTTTATCCAGAAATGTACTAAAGTAGGAAATTTTCTAACTGCTGATGTCATTATGATTTTCAGAACCAAACCCACACATGGGCCACCTAGCTTGGGCCGATGCTTTTGTTGTCACAGCAGATTCTGTCAGTATGATAAGTGAAGTTTGCAGCACTGGGTATGATTAACAAGATTACTTCTGCAATTTATGACGACGACATACTCATAAACTATTTAGCATGTTAATTGTCCACTTCTATTGTTAATTCCTTTTGTTTTTTCCTTCCCTAAAATGGCTGTGTTTCGCAGGAAACCTGTCTATGTTATGGGTGCTGAGTATTGTAAATGGAAACTCTCTGACTTCCATAAATCTCTGAGGGATCGAGGAGTGATTCGGCCATTTACAGGCTCTGAAGATGTGAGTAACTTAACTATTTGCTCGTGTAACCATCCTGATATTGAAGGACAGATATATGATGCCTTCATTTGAAATAGATTTCAAAATGGGATATTGATCATTTGAACTAACTACTGATGCTCATCCTTATTTCCAACTCATCTCTTTTTTTTAATTATTTTTTTATTTTGACTTTTCTTTTTTCGTTTTTTTTTTTTCTTTTAATTTGTAGATATCGGAAAGCTGGAGTTATCCTCCCCTTAATGACACTGCTGAAGCGGCTTCTAAGGTGCATGAAGCACTTGCTGAACGGGGATGGAGATTGCGGCCATAGAGAAGCAGTCGATTGGCATTTTAAGACGCTGTTCTTTCTGGCGTTGTTAAAAGGCTTCACCTTAAAATTTAGGTTTGTTTAAAGGCACATATAGGAAAGATAACTAGAGGGGTTTTTTTTTTTCCTTTGAAATTCAATTCGTTTTCCCTTGGGGGTATTGAGAGATGCTGAATAAAGGAAAGCTGATCTTAAAACGCGGCTTGTAAAGTAGAAGAGAAACAAGCTTGTCTTTTTGATGTTGAAAAGCCTTTTGAAGGTTGGGTTTGTGATTTGTGTTGCAAAAGGTATTTTTTTTTGTAATATAAACGCAGTTACATATTTTATTTGATCTACAAAGATGCAATGACAAAATCTAACAGTCCCATTGATATGCCTAATCTTTCTTGTTTCCAAGATTTATCACGATGAGAGTAGGCACCAAATAAACTTGATGTCTATTGCCTACTTAATGGAGGAGAGTCCTTACAGCAGTTTCATGATGTTTGACCCTGTTTATTTCGCTCGTTTGAGTTGAGAACGAGTTAAAAAATGAATTTATATGAGAGAAAATATTGTAGTAGAAAAAATTGAATTTGAACTTTTATGAGAAAAAACACTAGTAATTTGCACTAATAAAACGAACGGGACCTTTAATTAGTTTTTTTTTCCTCTCTTTTTTTCTGTTGCTGTTAGAATCTTCATATTGGCATCAGCTGTTACATAATTGCACACATGTTGCCTATCTGATATAAATATTTACCACTCAGCACCTTAATTGTTTAGGTGGAGCATAGAGACGCATACTACATAACGAAGGACTTATTGTAGAGAAATGCAAAATACTAAAACAACTAGTACATATTTCTTGGTAGTACGACGTTATTGCTCAGGAACCTTAGACTAGTATTATATTATAGAAATGTGCAAGATTGAGCCCGTTTGGTTAAAGGATTCGTTTTCTGATTCGAATCATGATTTATGATTCGCTACAGTATTTTCTCTCACAAAAAACATACGTAAATCGAAAAATAGTTCTAATCTTATGGTTCTAATCCATGAACCAAACGAGAAGTCAGTGAGCATAATTAGTGCCAAATATAAGTGGTTTAGGCATTTTTATCATAGTACTGCTGACGAATTCAACAAATCATACCCGTGGCTCGCATTTTGAAACACTAAAGGGTGCGTTTAATAGATGGATTCAGAATCATGATTCTAGATACTGGTTCAGAATCAGTGTTTGTTTATAGTGATTATGAATCATGATTCTGAATTTGGTTTGGATGATTCTAAATTATCATTCAGAATCTGATGTGATGTTTTAAACTAGCTTAAATCATGATTCTAAAACTACCCCCCGCTTGATTCAAAGTGATTCAAACTCCGGATTTTGAATCATTGTTTCATAATCATGATTTGAACCCAAAATCATGAATCATGATTCTAGTTATAGAATCATGAATCATGATTCTAGTTATAGAATCATGATTAGAATCATGATTCTAGTTATAGAATCATGATTAGAATCACCCTGATTTAAATTCTCGTACCAAATGAATCCTAATTGTAAGCTCATATGTGATTGGTGTTCAAGTTAAAATGTGATTTGGAATAAAAATAAGAAATATAAAAAATAAAAAAATAAAAACAAAAACTGCACCAAGTAATGCCTAAACAGTATGTATTTTGGTTGCTTATATATTCCTATTTGTCTAATGACGATGCAGAAAGTGGAGCAAGTCAGTTTACAGCAACAACTCCATAGAGAAAACTGAATCTATTCTATTCTATTCTGTTCTCTAAAATGCTTATAAGCATCCCTTTCTTTCACTAGATTCCACACCAAGGCAATCCCAAAATATCCTCTTGCCAGAAAACTCTTTAACATTTTCTTCTTCTTCTTCTTTGTTTTTTTTTTTTTTTTTTCAAAAGCATATACTAATGGAGGCGAAACAGAGTGATGACGCAGCTGTACTTATTCCAAAGCCCGAGTCCAAAGGAAAAGCCGTCGTAGACGCTCCTCCTCCTCCTCCTGTGGCTGTAGCCGCCAGGAAAGCCACCGTGCTCCGAAGAGTAGGATGGAAAAAAGGCGTCGCGATATTTGACTTTGTTCTAAGGATCGGTGCCGCTGCAGCGGCTTTTGCTGCTGCTACCGCCGTGGGGCAGGCGGAACAGGTTCTTCCATTCTTCACGCAGTTCCTGCAGTTCCACGTCGAGTTCACTGATCTTCCAACTTTAACGTATGCATGCTTATTATATCCACGCGCATATGCATAAAGATATATCATATGGGCATATCATAATATATAATTTCTTCATATCATAATGACTGTTTAGAATTGATCCCATTTTTATTTCTCATATTTAAAAAAAAAAATGAAAACATTTTTAAAACGGCGTTTAGCACAATAAAAATAAAAAATAAAAATGAAAATGATTTTTTGATTTAGTGTAAAATGAGAGAGAAATGAAAAATGATTTTTAGTCGTTTTTCATTTTTTGTTTTCATTTTTTCTTCTCTTGAGCACAGAGATAAATATTAATGGGTTTTTTATACTGAAAATAATTTCTAGATAAAACTACTAATTGCATTTTAAAAAATAATTTATGTCTGAGATTAAAAACGTTTTCATTTTTATTTTCATACAAAAAATTAGATAATTTTAGAACGAGTTTTAAACGTGTCCATTAATTTCTCTTTTTATTTATTTTCGGAAACGGAACTTTTTTGTGGCAATTAGATTCTGATTTTTCTTAAACGATAACTGAATGGTACTACTAAAAGGCAAATTCAAACCTTTGGAACCTTTTTTTTTTATCTGATAAGTGACGAGATGAGATAATTAGTGTGAGATGCAAAAGCACGTCCTAATTAGGTTGGCATTTGCAATCTCTTTTATCGTACGTACATTAAACCCCACACTTGGATTTTATCACTAAAAAAATAAAAAGTGCGGGAAACGTCTAAAGATTTACCATTATCAAGTGAAAAACTTCAACTAATTAATTAGTCATAAGCCAAAAGTTTTTAAAAAAAAATTAGGGTAAAAAAAAAAAACACTTCAAAATCCAAACGAATATTTTTATGGCTACACATTATACAAATAATTGGTCTACTAACAAGGAATCATTCTTTTTAGATATATTCCATCCAGTGACGAAGTTGAATGGGGCCTAGGAGGCTCAAGACCCCACCAAACTTTTTACATTTGCTTTTAATTTATATGTATTATAGATATATTTATATAAGAAATTAGATATAGCCTCCCTAAAAATTGAAAATCTAATCTCTAAATCCTCAAAAATTTTAAAAAATAACCACTTTCTAAAGAAATACCTCTAAGAATACTACTCTCTAAACAATATTTTTGAGACTTGAAATCCTATCGGGAACAATTTGTAGCAACTTAACAATTAGTTTTTTAAAAATTTTTGATGTAGTTAAAATTGACCCTCTCTTTCAAAAATTCCTAGCGTCGTCACTGATTCCATAATGCGCGCATTTAATAAAATAGACCAACTTTTCTCAGGGAGAAAAAAGATTAAATATAATGTTTTTCTTATTGATATTTTGCACCGCGTTAAGTTTTTGAGTTTCATTTAAAAAAAAAAAAAAAAGATTGCTTTTAAGTTCTTGATAAACATGCAGGTTCTTCGTGGTTGCAAATGCAACCGCTGGAGGGTATCTTGTCCTCTCATTGCCCTTCTCTATAACATGCATTATTCGTCCTCACAAAGTTGGTCCAAGGCTTTTCCTCATCATCTTAGATTCGGTACCCTAAAACCATATTCTTTTTCAAATTAATTTTTTTTAGTTTACTTCTTAATTCTCTCTTTTTTCTTTAAGTTATTCTATGCTTTTCTTTTTATCTTTTCTCGTATGTTAAGAGCGGAGTCCTTTGTCCACGCCCTAGAAAAAAAACCACTAATTAAATATTGGCATACATGTTGCATATGCGTACATAATAGCATTTCGTTCTTTGTTTTGTTCTTTGATGTTTCTTTTTTCCTCTTTTTTTTTCCCCCCCTCTTCTTGTTCCTTAAAATGAGCTTAGCCATGTAGCCATTTCCTTATTATTTTATTTTATTCTTTTCAAATACTTATGGGATAATTTTTTTAGGGGACTTATGAGATAAAAAGAGTCAAATTATAAGTCTTACAAAAAAATACATAATAAAATTAGTTTTATACTTCATATTCACTAACGGGTCTTTATCGTATTTTTAACGTGCTCATTCTGCATTTATAACGGACCCTTAGTGTGAATCGTGTCCAAAAAATAACGTCAAGCTTGGTCCATTTAATAAACGGGATGGGTTAGGCCAATTTAATAATCGTGTTATGCCATTCTGTGTCCACTTTTTGTCATATCGTGTTTGTGGCGGTCCATCAGGTTGCATTTTTTATGAAGAAAAAGAGGAAAATAGGTCAAGACTTGAGATGAATTAAAATTAATAGGCCAATAGTTTACATAAGTTAATAAATATGTCAAATTACTATTTTCGTCCATAACTTGTCTGGTTATGAACCATAACTTGACAAGTTATTGTCCATAATTGTCCATAACTTGTCTGGCTATGAACCATAACTTGACAAGTTTGTCCATAATTTATCTGGTTATGAACCATAACTTGACAAATTATGGCCTATTAATTTCTATAACTAAAAATTAGCCTATATACTTTCTTAAACTTTTCATATTGGCCTATTTTCTACTATTTTCCTTTTTTATGTATGAATAATTTTTAAAAATACACCTTAAAATAGAGTTTTTTTTTTTTATTTCTATCTCTTAATATTAATCCATGTATATTTACTCTTAAACTATAAGTAATCTAGAGATAAAAATTTTTAAAATAAGTATTTTTAAAAGATCAGATACTTAATGTCTGGATATTAAATGTCTGGATATTAAATCTCATATATTTTATAAGGTACTTTATAAGGGGGGATATTTACAAAAAAAGAGTGACAAGTTTAAGGGTTGTTCTTTTGGAGTGTAACTTTAGTGTAATTTTTGAGTTGAATTTGAGTTATAACTTGAGTTGAAGTTGTAACTTGAATAAAGTTGAGTAAAGTTTAATAAAATTAAAACTTAAAAGAATGTGAACTTGAATAAAGTTAAAACTCGAATTATCTTTTTTTAAATTTTTTGGACAAAGAACATGCCCAATTTCCCATCGCCTAATATCAACAATTGATTAAATTTTGTTGCAGGTGATGACTGCTCTCACTATCGCAGCTGCCGGCGCCACGACCGCGATCATGTACTTAGCTCATAACGGGAGTACGGACGCCAATTGGCTGGCTGTGTGTCAGCAGTACACTGACTTTTGCCAGCAAGTCACCGGCGCTGTGGTGGCTTCTTTCGTCGCGGCAGTGTTTCTCATATTATTGGTTGCGGTTTCTGCCTTCGCACTGAAAAGAAGTTCCCATTAAACAATTGCTTATTTCCCAAAAAAAAAAAAAAAAAAAAGGAATATAGATGAAAAACTACACACAATGTTCTTGAAGGAGTTTAGTACTATCTCATCATTTATGGCAATCTTGTTTGTACCTGTATATTTGTATGTGAACTGCGTGTTAATTGATCAGATCTGGTCGACGTTTGTATATGATTTGATGTGAATTAAAGATCTTTGATTGCTTGTCTTAGTGTAATTTTGATGCACTTATTTATGCATTTTTTGTTTATTTTTTATATTATATATGTTATATGCAGTGGTCGCAAGTATAGTATAGCCGTAAATTATCATCCTTATATTAATGTCTCTCTACTTATTATTTGACACATAAATTTAACTATCTCATTTTTTTATTTAAATAATAATAGATTATATTAATAGTAAATAAAAAATGTGACATAAAGTGTGTTACTAGCATTTTGATATCCAAATTATTCCCATGTGCAATTCAAATATGGTATGTGCACTTATGTATTCAAAGTTCCATTTGTCATCTATTACTTTTTCAACTGTTGTCCATTTAACCGTTGTTAAAGATAAAGAGAAAATGATAACGGAGAATAACCGTCGCTATTTGTAAAAAATACCACAATTTTAATTTAAGAACCGTTGTGGTTTGAGATTTTTTTTTTTTTAGGAAATGATTTGAGAATTTAAAATTACCTTTTTTACGAATCAATAATAAAAAATAGAAATAGTCTCCGATCATGCACTTAGAATGATGTCTGACCAGTCAGCACCATTTAGGCGTATATATACTATGACTGCAAGATATGCTTTTGACGGCTTAGATTTAAAGATAAAATTTTTGGACTCACTGGTCAAGCACATGGGTGTGTTAAATACGTAGGCCAGAGGAAAGTAATAATAAAAAAAATGTGGAAGAAAGAGTTTAGCATCGTTCATATTCGAGTTTTTAATTTGAATTGAGATATAATTTTATGTGAAAATTTTTTACTGCAACATAAAAAGTTAGATGAGAGCTTTTAACTATAGTAAAATTATAATTAAAAATTAAAATCGGTGATATAAACAATTACTTTAATAACATAAAGTTGAAAATGAAAAGGCGTAAGAGGCAGAGGAACGGGAAACGCATGTCGTTTTTGGTCATGGACTTACTTTTTTGTTTCTATTTCGGAACGGGAAACGCATGTCGTTTTTGGTCATGGACTTACTTTTTTGTTTCTATTTCTCTGATAAAATGGGTATCCTTCTGTATGTTGGTATTTTTGTGTCTGTGTTTTCATAGAACCCAAACTAAAGTTGTGGCGTGATAACTCTATAAAATAGAGAGATATTTCTTTTTATTTGCATTTAAATCTAGGAAGAATGAGTGAAACAGTATAATTGGTGTAGTGATTATTAAATTATAATATATTTTTTTAAATGATAGATTACAACATAATGTGATAATTTAATCCAAGTGTGTCTATTGGCACTCCTTTTTATACTTCTCACACACCCATTTTTAATATTATTAAATTACCTATTAATAAAATTAATTTTAAGAACGATAGTATTTTAAAAACTACTCGTTACACACCCCACTATTAAAAAAATATGTATTACCTTTTAAAAATTATGGTGCTTTACTTTCTCAAAGCAATTTTGTTTTCAATTCTTGTACCCACCTTTTTTTTAACTGAAGAAAAAAAATTTCGAATTAATCATATGAAGCACTTGAGTGAGTCTTTAATAAATATTACCACAAAATATCTAAAGAGACGTTTGGTTTATAGATTAAAATAATGTGATTAGAACTATTTTTTATTTACGTGTATTTTTTGTGAGAAAAAATACTGTAACAAACCATTAACCATTATTCAAATTATAGTTTGAATCCTCCAACTAAACATCTCTTAAGTTGCTCTCTGATAGATGAAATCAGGATGGATGCCCACTTAACTCCTTGAGCTTCTGGTCAAAGAATAGTTGGGTGTGTTTTTTTTTTATTTTTTATTTTATTTTTTCGTATTGTTCTTCACAGTATAGGAGAACGGCAATACCCAAAATCAGTCCCTTGAATATAGCTTTAAAAAATCAGTTCGACACTAGTGCATTTGAAGAGCTTAATGGAGACACCTACATCTAAATTGGGTTTTTAAACTTTCATGAAAAATGGTTTTTTTTTTTTCCCAATTTGATTATGTTTCTTTATTATTAAAATTATAAGGAGGTATACATGTGGGAGTGGATCCTACTTTATTTAAAGTCCACGTAAGATTGTGAGAGTGTATAAAAATATTTTCTCTGAAGAGAATGGGGTGGTTTAATAGTGTGTGAAAAGTAGAATTGGTGATGATTTAATTGCAGAGATTTTTTTTTAAGGATAAGTTGTAGGGACTTTTTTAAAATTTTAAAAGAGGTATAACTAATAAAATTGGGGGTAAAAAGAATGTGTGTGAAAAGTAAAAAAAAGTGTCAATAGCCGCACTTTTTAAGTTTTTAATATTATTAAAAACCTTAAAATACTCATAAATCTCTTTTTCAACTTCTTTTATTCTCCATAAACATCTATTTTTTTTAAAAAATAGTAAATTATACCATATTTTTTAAAAATAGGTAAATTATAATTAAGTCCACTATGGCTGGCATTGGCTACTGGCAGCTAACTCTGGCGACCATTTTCTGGCAGCCAGCACCGACGACCATTTTTCTTGTGACTGTTATCTTGTGACCGCTTACACTGTATTTACTGATAAATATCGTATTTATCGGTAATGATGTATTTATCAGTAAATACAGTATTTACCGAACACCGACTCCGGCGACCATTTAACAATGCATTTACTGTAAATACCGTGTTTACTAGTAAAACCATATTTATCTAAAAATTCAAGCACCGACTTCAACGACCATTTAACATTGTATTTACCGGTAAATACCGTATTTACTGGTAAATACTGTATTTATTAATAAATATCATATTTATTAATAAATACCGTATTTATTAATAAATATCATATTTATCTAAAAATCCGGTCACTAGCGTATAACACTAGATTTATTGGTAAATACCGTATATATCAGTAAATATCGTATTTATTAGTAAATATTATATTTATCCAAAAATCTTGTCACCATCTTCGCCGATCGTTTAACATTGTCTTTATAAATAAATATTATATTTACCAATAAATGCCGTATTTACTAGTAAAAATCATATTTATCTAAAAATTCAGCCACCGACTCCGACGATCATTTAAACTGTATTTACCAGTAAATGCCGTATTTACTAGTAAAAATCATATTTATCTAAAAAATCAACCACCGACTCCAACGATCGTTTAACACTGTATTTACCAGTAAATACTAGTAAAATTATATTTATCTAAAAATCCGGCCACCGACTTCGACGACTGTTTAATTTACCAGTAAATACCGTATTTATCAGTAAATATCGCATTTACTAATAAAAATCAGCTGTCAGAGCTGGTGACTAATAAATATCATATTTAACCAAAAAAAAATTGAAACTATAAAAATTAAAAATTCATATCAACAAAATTACAAATCTCATATCAAGAATTACAAAAAAATTAGATTTGCACAGATCACATAATCTTTTTTTCCTAATCTCCAAACAAAAACAAAATGCAAGTAAAAATTTTTGAAACCACAAAAATAAGAAATACAGATCCACACACAATCACAATTTCAATCCAACAACTACAAAATCCACTACAAGAAAAAGGGATTTTTGCGACGACAAAAAGTCGTCGCAAAAACCCTAATGTCGTCGCAAATAGTATTTTTTACGACGACATGTCGTCGCAGATATGTCGCCGCAAAAAAATGGTCGCAAATACTTTATTTGTGACGACACAGTGTCGTCGCAAATACATTTGCGACAACATTTTTCTTTTGCGACGATAGTCGTCGCAAATACGCTGTTGGTTAATTTGTCGTGATATAATATTTTTTGCGACGAGAATTTCAAAAAGTCGTCGCAAATAATTCAAATTTTTTTGCGACGACAAGTATAAAAATGTCGTCGCAAAAACTTAAATAATTTTTTTTTCAATTTTTTAAAAAATGGCAATTAATTAATTTTTAATAATTTTAATTAAACATTATTATGTTACATACTAAATATAATTTATTAAGATACATTAAAAATAAAATATAAATTAATATTAAAAACAATAAATCTAAATAAATTTATAAAATATATTATGAATACTACATGAAGTGCATATATAATGTTCAACAAAATATAAAAGTCTAAATAAAGTGAAAAATCATACAGAAAATATAACAGAACTATTCCTCTAGGTTTGCAGCATCGCCAACAGCTGAATCATCGTCAGAACTGTCATCATCTGAAGGAGGCAGAGGAGCGTCTAGGTTAACTGGTTCTGGACGAGCAATCGTAGGTAATTGGATGTTGGGCTGCAATCTAGACACCAACTCTAACATCTTTACCTGATTGTCATAAATCTTCACTTGTTCCCGGTACGATTTCTTTAAATAACGATCCATACGCGCGTCAGGTTGAGCCGATGATGTTGCTGTTAGGAATAGTGTCCTAGAAGCAT